AATGGTCAATTGCTTCATTTTCGAACTTTCACATCATACTATAAATTTCCTTACTTGACGCAACGCTAAGCCACACCCCACAACTGAGGCTCCACGAACCAGGTTTCAACTGACTCCGGTGGACATATCAGAATTCCCGTGAGTACAGATTTGTTTTTTATTCCTTACAAATTATGGATTTTAAAAAATAATCAGAAGTGGAAGAATAATAGGGATTCAAGAAGCTACAAGACTTTTGATGTTCTATTTAATATAGTTGTACTGTATATTCATATGCTTTTTGATTGAAGTAATGATTAAATAGATATAACGACCATTCAAGCTGATGGCATTAAAAATCAAGCAAAATCATATCACTCATCATATAGAGTTCTTTACGTAATAGAAAGTAACGAGTGAATCATTCTCAAAAGCGAATGATACATTCACCCAAACCTGCTTTCCAAGCTTCAATTAAATCTGCAGATTTAAGGGTAAAATAATGTTGTGGAGATCAGATCTGAGCAGTAAATCGTGTCAATTCAAAAATGGTATGGCAGGCTCACGTCGTAGAAGCGATGTTGACTTTTCTCTGTGTGTCTTTCTAATCATGACAAATCTTTTATTTCACAGAAACTGAAATATCAAGTAAAAACGCCAAGCAAGCACAATATTGCGTGAATAGGCTCCTGCAAGGGTCTTCAAGCGTTTAGGTGTTTTCAGGTTTGTTTACAGTTTTTAATCTTTCTAGTATCAATAATGTTGTCCAGATCAGATCTGAGCAGTAAAATGTGTCAATTCAAAAATGGTATGGATAATGTTGTCAGTTGCTGTTGTTGTTATTTTTTATTATTATATGGTGAGCTTATTTAGTGATCAAGTTTAAAAATTATAATAGTGCGGCATAAGTTGCAGAGCATTACGTAGGAGCAACTTTTCTTCTCAGTTAGCTTTAACATGGACCCAGGGACTGCGGACCTTTTTTTTATTGATATTTATTGGTAAGTCTAGCTCACGCGTAGCTCGAGTTCAACGAATGGCGAAATCGGAGTTTATCTCGGGGAGCCCTGGTCATGCTCCCCCGGAAAATTAAACTAAAAAATTAGAGATTCCGAAGTCACCGGCATTGCGCTTATTTCTATCAATCCTGAGAAAATTTTGTCCAATTTTTATCTGCATTCTTTCAGTTTTCTGCTCAAAAAAGTATAAACAAAGAAAAGTGCAAATAAATAGCAAGTGCCAAGCTATTAAACAAAGGTGCCAAATCCTGATGGATCTAATCAGCAAAATTTTTGTAAGCAAACAGTGAAAAAAGCAGGTCTAACTGTACAACTATGAGAATATATTTTCTTCCTTAGAAAATATAATTGTGTGCTTTTAATTTTAACTCAAAGATTAGAAGTACAGTCCAACCTCCACTAACGGCCACTTTTCTACAACAGCCACTTCTTTTGGTGGATAGTCCATACACCAAATCTTGTTTAAACCTCTCTACAACTTTCACTTTTTTTCTGTCCCCAAGGTGGCCGTTGTGAAAGGGTTTAACTGTACTGTTGTAAATGCTAAAAATAAGCCGTCGAAATTATTGGTTGGGCTATAGCCCACCCGGCCCATAACACGGCTGTATTTTCTCGTGACCGATCGATTTGTTTTTCTTTATGTTTTTGTAATTTGGAGAAAGATAAATGGTCCAGTAAGTGCTTGTCATCCCTTCTACTTGGTGATCAGATGTGTCAATTCATGAGAATGTAAAACTAGAAACTGAGACTTATCCGGAACAATCCCGAACAGTAAATTGGCCGCCAAACAGAAATTTTAAAATGTTGTTTGAGAACTCAATATATTATTTATACCCATGAATCGGCTAACACTCAAAATTTCAGCACAGGTGGCAAATCCGTTTAGTTAACATGCGCGGGATCGAGTTGCAGAAACAACGCCCTCTTACGGTCCCCACGAGAAAAGCTTCAACTCTTTACAGTTCTCTCCCTTCGTGTCAAAAGTAGCTAAAGGTCTCTCCTTACAAGAAGGAATATACTATTTGTAGATCGCTACGTAAAACAGAGACATATTCACTTGGATACCGATAGTTAGAAGGGCTTTAAATGCTCGCCTTTTCTCTTTTGAGGTCATCAGAGATAGTAGTAACAGAACGTGTCTATACATTTCCTACCATGGTGAAGATATATTTCTTTGGACTGCAAAACAAAGCAAGCCGATAGCTTTCCGAAAGACAAAACTTTCTGAAAGCTATGTTAGCAAGCACGGAGAAACGTCTGGGGATGACCTTTTTAAAAAGGAAAGCTTATTAAGAAGTTTTCACCTTTTACCTAACCTGTGAACAGGCTCTCGGTTTTGGGAATGGTGAAAAACTCGCAAGGTGAGGAATTTTTTCACCCTTTCCCCAAACAGAGAGGCTGTTCACAGGCTAAATTATTATAACATTTCGAACTGCCTTTCGTATTTTTTCTCAATATATAATCTTGATAACTCTACTTCCGTAGAACTATT